GTAAACCATAACCAGAATATAGTGTATTAAAAAAATCTATTTTTAATAAAAGAAAAAAGTAGTAGAAAAATAAAAATAAAAGTGATAAAGTGATTGGCTAGAACTTCTCTCTGGTAAAAAATAAATTATCAGAAAATGTAAGACAGCAACCCATATTCTGTAAAAGCAAAGGTGAAGGTACCTTCATTTTGTATTGTATTTTACAATTTACTTTCAACAGTAAATACTCCATTTTAAAGAAATTATCCTATAACAAATATTTCTTAAATTATTCATTTAAGAAAGCAATTATTCACTAATTACCATATTTAAGTTATAAGGAATTTAAGGTCACTGCCAAGCTGAGATGCCTATGAACAAATGAGTACAAAAGGAGTGTCAGTAAGGTTAGAGGAGGAAGACTGAGACTGCATGCTCAAGAGTCAGACGCACATTAGATATGTCCCACTAGAACGAAGTTAACATGGGCTTCTGGATGCTGAAATTCTATTAAATGACACAAAGGTACAACCTATCAAAAACAAGAGCAGCAGGGATCTATCGGAGCCAGAATATCTCAACTTCTTGAGTGAATCAGAAAGAAGATAAAAGGCTGATAACTGATGAGTCAGTAGAGAAAGCATAATCTGCTGCTGCCTAGAAGAGAACAAGGAAGAAGGAGCCAGGGGAGCCACACCATCATGAACTCCAGGTTCACAAATCTGAGCCATGTCTGGGAAAACTAAAACCAATGTGGTTACAGTCAGCTCTTCTCTTATTCTTACACAGCACGAGAAAAAAAAAAAAAAAAGAAAGAAAATAGGAACAGCTGAGGAAGCACCAGATAGGATTTAAAAACTTGTACTTATATTTTAAGAATGATACAAGGGATGTGGCTACTACAGAAAAAGAAAATCATCTATATGGAAAAAGAAAACTCAATGAATAAAGAAAGTTCTTAGCTATTGGAGAAATACTGCTTTAAAAACCTCAACACAAAAATAAAAAGGATTCCAGAAAAAACAATAACGAAAAGGCATAGAGCTGGGGACATGGCTCAGTAGATAGGGGGCCTCCTGGCAAGCATGCAGCCTATGCGGTGTCTGAGTTCAGTTTATCAGCATCTAGGTAAAAAAACAAAAACAAAAACCAACCAACCAACCAAAAAACAAACAAACAAACCCAGATATAGCAGCTTGCCTGTATTTCTTGTCCTGGGGATACAAAAAAAGGAAGATTATTGGGGCTTGCTGGCCAGATATTCTGTATTCTGTCCAATTACTACCTCCTGGCCTACTCAGAGATGCTGTGTGAAAAAATATTAACCTCTGGCCTCCACATGCGTGTACACATGTGCCCAGACCCCCCCCCCCCCTCCACACACACCACCACCACCAAACCAGATAGGACCCATTCTGGTCCCCAAGAAACATCTGTCCTTACTAATGACAGACAAGAAAAATATTTGGGAAAATAGAAGTTACATAAAGATTCATCCTACAAACTGTAATTTCTGACTAGGCAGTGCTGGGTGTTTGTGCGGGGGGGGGGGGGGGTGGCGGAACATGAAGAAAATCAAGAAGAGAAAATTATCAAACAATTCACAAAAGAGGACTTCCCAGAACCATCCTTACACTATAAGTCATCTGGCTCTGCCATTTTTTCTATTATATTTGACATTAACTATTTCCCTTTCAAAACAAAAAGTAAAAAGCAAAGGCTATTAAATATCTATATCCCATAGTCAACCTCTCTCTAGACAAGTGGAAGAACACAGCTTCTGTCAATTGCCAGTGCTATATTCTGTTAGGACAAACCATCCCTGGACCAGTACAGACAGAAGAGGAAGGCTCTACTGTAAGTGGGCTAGACATAAAGGTTATCATTTGGGCCATAAGGCTGTCACCAAACAGGAACAAGCTTTCAAAGAGATATCCTATCACTAGGCAATTATAGAAGACTTTACAGGAAAGCATTCTTTCAGTAATGTTCAGTAAAAACTGTGGGGCAAAATACAAACACTTTCAAAGTGTAAGACTTTGAATGGATCTGCCATTTGGAAATGTCTTAAAAAAACATTCCACCAAAATGGAGATAGTGAGAAGAAACCTCATATCTAGAAAGAAACAGTACCAAATCAAAAGAGAGGAAAAAAATAGATCCTTAAATATGATTCTATAAAAAAAATAATGCCAATTTGTATCTTTTAATAGGCTTCAATAAAAAAAAACCTTGAACACAATTCATAAATTACTGGTTTCAGAAAAAGAAGGTTACACCATATTAAACTAGAAGAGAATCACATTACACTTCAATACTAGAATACAAAAGAGACATCATACAACCAACTTTTTTTTTTTTTTTTTTTTTTTGGTTTTTTGAGACAGGATTTCTCTATAGAGCCTGTCCTGTAACTAGTTCTCGTAGACCAGGCAGAACTCCAACTCACAGAGATTCACCTGCCTCTGCCTCCTGAGTGCTCGGATTAAAGGCAAGTGCCATCACCACCCAGCAAATAGCTTCAGATACCAATATGAGACTCACAGGTACCTAACAACTGAAGGGATATGATGGATTCATACATTTTCCTGACTTCAACAAATCAGAAAATTTGTAATTCTAACCTTCCTGGAGTTTATAATCCTAGGACTTTGCTACTTAAACAGATTGAATTATTTTCAAAATGAAGCTCACCCTAGAAAAACATGGCTCTCATATTTGAAGGGAAAAATCTATAAAAACAAAAGACATATGTAACACATGCAAGAAACCTGTTAGGAATAAACAAATGAAACAAAAGTAAGTCCTGGCACTTCAATACTGCATTAACATTCAAAAGCTTAAAGTGCAGTTCTTTTGCTTATAGAAAGTTGAGACAAATTTGGAAATTATAGCCATTCCTAAGTTAGTTTTTTTCTATAATTACTCAATTATTCATGAGAATATATGAGACCTCTACTGAAATCTTTGCACCAGTGTTTCACAAATGGATTTAACTTTAAAAGCTTAGCTATACAATTTTTTTCATAAAAGTAATAGATTTCTGATATTGATGTCTTTAAAATATCCTATAGTAAAATTAATATTTTTACATAGGAAAAGAAGATACTATTTAGTCCCAGACAACTTGATAACATCTCTTTCAACTATAGTTATAATTATCATGTATGAAATTCCAAAGCAGAAGTTGTCAAGATTTAACATTAGCATTAATTTATGTCATAATTGACGGTTACTATCAAGATAATGGCAAAGCATCCATTTCTCCAAAGACAGCATGGAGAGAAGGGGAATTTCTTCTTAATTACTGCTAATCTGCTCACTTTTAATTAAACTGATTAGTAATTTATTATCATTCCCTTTCCTGGATGGTCGTTATTATCACAGGATTTCTTCAAAGTTATCACATTTGTGATTTTTAAGCAACCCAATTATTTCTAGTGCAGGTTCCATCATTTTGTAATATTGTTTTATACTGAAATGTTGATATCCAGTTTCAGTGTTGTCTGGAAAAACAAATGTGCAAAGACAAAATCTGGATCTCATCTTTAAATCTCCAACCTTTCTAGAGAGACAACCACGGAGAGCAGAAGTCTTTTCCTTCCTCCTTGTTGTGCAATCACAGTAGTTAAAATGAGCATGCAGTTCCCAACACCAGCCTCTGCAAAGTCTCCACTTCAAATGCTGTCAAACTAAACAGCATGCTGCAAAACAGCTCCTGTGCTTCTTTTGAATATAAAAAAGTTCTGACATACAAAATAGGAACTGTTTTCATTAAACTACCTTAAATGTATTTGGCTATCTGGTATTTTTCTTAATCAAAACTGTTAACCAATATAAAATTTTGATTAATATTATAAATTTTCAATTAAGAAATGTTCATTACATAACTTGGGAGAAGGTTGAACTAAAGAGTGAAAAAATGCAATGGTACAGGAAAGGACGGAACTCTTTTTCTTTCCCCTGTAAAAGTATTGAGATATTCAGTACACACTGACTTGAGTCCCCCATCAGTATGCCTTATGTGAACTGAATATGTACAGTGGTTGAATAAACATTTGTTTTAGGAAGAATGCTGAACTATCCTCAATAACTGATTATCAATGAGCATGCAAGGATGATCGTTACTATCATCTCCTTCTACATTCACTGAGTGAGCTATCTAGTAGATAGATGAGCCCACATTTCTCTCCAAGATTTTCTGTGCTGGAACTATTCTTAAATAAATGACAGACAACAACAAAAAATACATATAATGCCTTATTAATTAATAATTCTGACAAATTTATTGAAAGCTCAGCTCTGACTTCCTTCCTTCTGGTCTCCAGTCTGCGTAACCTAATGGGAGAGGTCTCACTGGCCATCCCAGCCAGCACATCCCTGGCTATCTTAGGCTATCAGTTGCTGTCACCTTGGTCTCTCCTTCTCATGGTACTCTTCCACAACAGCCATGTTGTCTGTTCCTTGTCTTACTCTTGCAACTAGAAACTCTAATCTAATAAAGAAATGGGACTCATCAACTTGTTTAGTAGGGATTTAAAATCTGTTAAAGAAAAAGATTGACTGCTATTGTCTTTCAATACCCTGAAGGAAAAGAAATACCATTTTATGAGGGTGCTTGAGAGATGGCTAAGCAGTTAAAGGTGCTGGGATCCAGCACTCACATGGAGGTTTATAACCATCTGTAAGTCTCGGTTCAGGAAATCAAATTCCCTTTTCTGGCCTCTGTAGGTACCAGATATACATATGTTATACAAACATATATGCAGGCAAAACACACACACAATATGTTGAAAAAAATCATGTGATAAGCCTAGATATAAATCTATACTTAAAGTCTTACTTTTCCATAGTCTAACATAAAGACAAACCAGCAAATTTTTGTTACCTTCCACCTAAAAGATAAAAATATCCTTTCAAAAAATAGCTGGGCTATGAACAGATACAAACTATTTAATATTAAATAATTCAATAAATGAAAGTTACAAAGTTCAAAAGGGATAGTTAGTCACTCTGCATACCTTAACAAGTTTCAATAGTTCATAGAGATCTTCAACCTCATCACCTTCCCGTGTGGTATACATTTTTCCTGTCTCCAAGCTCCTTCCTCTTATGGTTCTGCGGTACAGGGGAAGAGCCATTGCTTCTGCATACAGGTCAATGGCATGGTGACCCACTGTCTGATACATGTAGCTATCCAATTCATCTGACTCCACTGTAATAGTTAAATAGAAATAATTAGTAAGACAGAGTGAAAACAAATAGGCTTTAGGAAGCAACTTTTTTCATTTGAAGACTAGTCAACACTAAGCTTGAAAGTGTACCGTATCTCCCCGCAGTTATAGTGAGATAATACATGGACACTACACATTTGTCTCAGCTAAATTCAGTTCAGCTCAGCTCTAATCATCTGAGTTTCTAATTAGTAACAGGATTACATTTATATTTTTAAAATTATATACAATTCTTAAATATAAGAGTAATGAACCCAATAAATTTTTAATTAGTTTATTCAATTAGAAATTAAATTACATAAATTTATCCAAATCATTCAGGTTATTCAAAAAATAAACTAGACTTTTAATAAAAATTTCTCTTAAATAAATACCTGCTTAGTAAGTAAAATATATTTGGCAGAAAAAAAATAGATACACTTGCTATGTTTTATAATAAATACATCAACAAAACATATACATATAATTCACAATTTGTTAGAGCAATTACCAACATATTTTGGAAACAGGATAAGTGAATCTAATGCATGATATAATCACCAGTTGTCTCAAATTTTCACACATATTGTTATAGGTAAAGCATTCATTACAGCATTATTTGTAATAGATTAGGAACTATATTATAGTTATGTGATAAAATGATAGGCAGTCTTTGATGCATCTTCTAAAATCTATTCTCCAGAATACAAATCCCATAAAATATTAATATTTAAAACATGGAAAGAGATTACATGTCAAATATGTTTTAAAAGTATGTAAGTAAATAAGTCTAAATAGATGAGTTTGTTGAAATTTTTCACAGATTAATATGCTCTGCGTTCCTCCAATATAGGACAGAGTATGAATTACCTCTCAAAATGATCTCTTCATACAGAGAAGATATGGGAGAAATGATACTGAAACTAGAGTTTAGTGCCATCGAAACTGTTTAGTTGTGACAGACACACATGCACATGCATGTTTTCAAATGTGGAAGGGAATGACTAACAGTCTTTCAACAGCCAGGAGTATCATCATGTGCCATCTCATTTTGGCTTGACCCCCACAGCTGTGTGGCTTCCTACAAAACAATATTCACACATTCCTGTAAGTCTAGTCCTTATCCTAAACTTTGAAACACAGATTTAGTCAGCTCACCCTAAAACTTTTCAGTCTTCCATCCTACCAAGTTAACGAGTCTTTAATGTGTTTTTACTAAAGAATATTGGTCAATCAATTTATTCCACAAAACGAGCTTCATAGCAAGAAGCATCCTGAAATGAGTACGACTACTAGACATTGTAATGACTTCAAAACCCAACCTGTTTTCCTTAGGGCTCCGTGTAGTCCTTACCACAACAGCCTCCTGAGTGGACGCTTCACAGCAGCTACTGGTGTGAGAACAAAGAAAACCAAAGCCTCCACTGTGGCCTAAAGCACTTGCATTAGCACACCACAAAACGTCCTACTACAGACTGAAAGGGATGGCTCTAGGAATTTTATGACAACTGCACACTATCCCTATTACTTACTGTAAACCCATACTGTGAAAAGCATGATACGTTGCGAATATATTATACCCAGCTTTGCTCTTCAATGGAGCCATGCATTTCTCAGTGAGGTTCCTTTCAGACCATTTAAAGAGTACAAAAAAAAAATCATTCAGTGACTCATTCAACAGTTCCAACATCCTGCTGACTTTAATCGATACTACCAAACCCTGTCCATTGTTGCCCCACAACAACCTACCCTCTTCTACACCAATTACTCGGGGTAAGTTGATAGTCCCAGCTTTTTAATGCATAATGTTCTAAATACATTTACCATTGAATTTTTCCATCACTAACAATATTCTAATAAAGGCCTCTATTCTATTAATAAGTGCAAAAGATATACTTGCTTGTCGTTTCACTGTTCTGTCAGCAAAATTAACACATGGAAGATTATACAACAATGATCTTTTACACAATAAATAGCTCAGGTTGAAAGATGGACACCACAGAAATTCAAGGGATGGAAATCACTTCATATGTGCAGTACACATCATATGAACTTTTTTTTTTAGTACTAAGAATTTTAAAGACAGGTAAAAAGACTCACTTGCCCAATTTGATGCAAGGGATGGATAGGGTCTCCCCTTTCGTAACAGCACGGTCTGTACAAGAGTTTTGCTGCTTCTTCATAATAAAAGCTGCAGAACAGTCCTATCATCGTCATAATAAATACCACCTTCATAATAAAAGCTGCAGCACAGTCCTATCACCTTCATAATAAAAGCAGTCCTATCACCTTCATAGACTTCTCATGCTTTAAGTTAGATTTACCCCACATCCTTTGTAAGCCTGTTTCCCTTCTTCTTATAAAATATTCTCAATTTCCATCTTCCCACATCACTTTCAGAATTATTCAAATATTCCCCCAGAAGTAAACTGGCTAATTCGAATGAGTTCAGTACTCACTGGTCCGCCAATAAGCACCTACTAGAGGTACAGAGCTTCCAAGAGCTGGGTGGCATTCAAAGGAAAGTCTAAGTCTACATCTCCTCCCATGAGGCTCATCATCTATGGTGAGTACAAAGGGAAGGCTTACAGGCTTCACTACATCTAAAATAGTAGAGGGCACCTTTGGACCAGTGGCACTCATACATTGTAAACTAAGACCCAGTGAGGCAACAGACTATTTCTTACCAACCTGCAATAATGAAGTAGAGCTGCAGTCATCTAGAGAAAGGACCAAAAAAGTCAGATCCTTACCTTGGTTTTCATCTGGTCTTAGATTTGCTAAAGCAACAATGTGATGCCCCGCAGCAATGCACTGCATCATGTTGTAACAGCTGTCCTTCCCTCCGCTGAAAAACAAGCCAGGAGAGAGCAGGGTATGAATGCCAGGCTCCTGATCATCATTAAACACAGAATCACTGGACATCAAAATCAATCACATCACTACTTTGCTTTTCAGGCTCCATGAGGGACTGTACCACAATTACAGCATAAGAAGGCACACATTTGTAAATAGGAAGAAAACTGAGCACATGAATCTGAATGTCTAAGGCTGCTACATCTAGGAACTTAGAAAATTACATGCATCTACAATACAGAAGTTCTAATCAAAGTATATTTATAACAGTAGTTTTACATAAGATAAAAAGTGCTATGCACATAAAAACTTATTTAAAATGATATTCTGTATCCTAGCTAAATGCTTATACCATATCTTCCTTAGATGAAAGTCCTTAATTAAAAAAAAAATCTGTGGGGGGTGGGCAGAAATTGTTTGGTGGTCAGACTACTGGCTGCTCTTTCAGAAGACCTGGCTTCAATCCCAAACACTCACATGAATGCTCACAACTATCTGTAACTCCAGTTCCAGGGGATCCAATACCATTATGGCCTCCATAAGCACCAGGTTAGCAAGTGGTGTATAGATACACATGTATGTAAAACACCCATAAACATAAAGTAAAGCATTATTTAATCTGTTCCAACTACATAAAACCTATTGTCTACCAATACCCATCAAAGGATATTAAAAATTTCAATCCAAACTGTAATAGAGCCTGATATGATTGATTCTAAAGTCTATACAATGAAAATGCTGACACATATCAATAGTGAAACATTAGTATAATCAATATGTCAGCCATCACTGCCTAGTCAGTTTCATTGTAGGTCTTCTCAAGAGGGACACAATACAAAGGACAAAGGAGCGTTTAAGACATCCAGGATCCTTGCTTTCAGATATGCTCCTAAGCAGGTCTTTATAACTTTCTCTCTCAGAACCTATTACTATGCTGCCCCCAAACAAGAAAAAAAAACCAAAAAGATTGTATAACAGATTGAGGATTCAAGGGGAAACACCCACATTCATTACTTAGCTTTATGGTTTACGATATGTCAACTGTTTAGATATGATTTCAAAGTATTTCCGAAGCTATGTTCTGCAGAACACAGAGTATTCAAAGAACAAACAACTTTCAAGGGCACAGAATCTTACGAATGCTGACAACTTTATTCGCTAAAGTAGCTAAGTACAGTCAGCCCTTCTGCCAACCTTCCATAGCAGTAGGGTTCACATCTATGAATTCAGCCAATTGTAAATCAAAAAATTTTAGGGGCAGATACCTCTAACAATAATCTACTGAACATGTAGCTTATTTTATTGTTAATTCACTAAAAGGTGCAACATAATCGCTAGTAACATAGAATTTTATTCTACAGGTATCACATCCTCTAAAGATAGTTTAAAGCATATGATGGGATAATGGATATAGGTTCATAAAATGATGTACAAATCATTGTATACAAAGGACTTTGCAACTGAAGATTTGGGTTTTCCTGGGGGTCCTGGAAGCAATCTTCCATAAATACCTGGGCACCCTGTGTAAGTCATGCAAAACAGATTTGTTGTTGTTGTTGTTTGAGAAAGGGTTCAGGTACAAGCTTAGCTACAATGTATTTAGGTTTATATGCTTCAATATACATAGAAAATATCCTGCCTAGACAAATCTTCAAGTTTACATACAACAGTGAAATTCTAAGAGGTACTTAAGTCGTTGAACTGATGATATGTATGAATGTATTCCATTTTGTCTTAAAATATACTTATACCAAATCTGCTGTTGTACACACATTCATAATACATGCGCACACATACACAATACAACTATTTATCACAATGAAGCTTAAATGTATATTTACATTATACACAAATATATATTTAAATATATAAATTCACATGTTATACACACACACACACATATATACACACACACACACCACAAAATATACAACACACAAAAATAGGTATATTTACTCTGTGGATTCTTCTAGCATACAGTCCTTTAAAATGTGGCAAGGTTTTAAATAGCACTTCATTATTCCAAAACTTATTACCAATGTAAGATACCTGCATACTGAGTATTTTGAGAACAGACCATACTAACCATTCCTCCTTTCCAGTTTCAACTGTTCTATCAGTTGAGCTTTTTGTGAACTAAATTCCAATCACTAGCCTCCTGGCCTACTTTTATCTTTTATCTCTCCTCACCAAATAATCATAATAGTTAAAACGTCATTATTCACTTTATGGAGAAAATTTATTAAATTACAGTGGCATTACAGTATAATTTCGTTAAAAAGGCGTTTTTTTTTTCCCGTCACTAAAGAGGCACTGAACTATGGCTCATCAAAAGTCTGATAAAACACCATCGACTAACACCATTTACCTTGGCATTAAACAAGGCTAAGTATGCTTCATTGTGGTAACAAGAAAGCCTGAAGCAATATAATTGAACCTACACTTTACTGGGGTCTGTATCTCAAGAAACAAAAATATTTAAGGGTTTCAAACGTTGTCTCTAATATTGCTAGTATTTCCATTATCATTTTCAGGTATAGAAACCGAAACACATCTGGCTGTGTTTGCTTATCAGTTACAGTATCTAGACTTGTAATTTACTATGGATTTCAAACTACTTTTAGAATAATCCTTTGGTTGCCAAAGGTCGATAAGGCAAATTCTTTGCATCCAGTACAAGTTCAGACACCTCTAGCCTAAACCAGCAGAGTCTCAGCTCCACTAGAGGGAATATTACTCGACAGTAGGCTGTTCCAATGCAGGTGTTTAACTCATATAAGCAATCCTAAGCTATTTATGGATCCTGAGGCCATCCCTGCCAAGCTCGTGATGTGGGAAGTGAGATGAGAATGAGGTAGATTTTAGGAGAAAGGTCGGGCCAGTGAGAGCCTAGGAAAGATCTCTCAGACTGACGGAAAATACAGAGGATGAAAACTGGAAACAAGTCAGTGACATTAACAGCGGGTCTCAGACTTCAGAGCATTTAAAAGTCCAACAGGTGTGCTGAGCATGCGCCCAGGGCTGAGGACCCAGGCAGCAGCACAGAGCAGCTTTGCCAAGACAGCCAGGGAGCAAGCGCACAGACCGGGGACACTCGGAGCAGATCGTCCCGCCTCTTCCGGTGGCCGGGGCGCTGGCCCGCCCACGCGGCTCTTCCAGAAGTCATTCCCGAGGTGCCTACAGCGGCCGAGTCAGGGCCTAGCCTTGCCCGGGAGGAGGGAGATGGACCCCCTTCCTCGTTACCTGATCAGGGCCGCGACCCTCATGCTGGGTGCAGTGCGCGTGCGTGCGGCAGGCGCGGACGCCAGGCCCCGGCCCTGTAGCGGATCCAGTGACGCGCGCGGGTCCTCGCCCGGGTGTCTGCTGCGCTGCCTGTCCGCGACCATCCTACTGCCCCTTCAGCATCTTGCTGAACAAACGGGCGTCCAGGGTAGGTAGTCTCAGCACCTGTTATCCGCTATATGGATGTACAGGCCAAGGGGGAGAAAAAAAAAAGTTTAGGCACAGCCTAACCACCTAAGTAAGGGCAGTGAAGCTGCCCGGGAAAGGGCGCTGTCCTTATTAAGCCGCTTGAAGGTCTGGGTTTGACTGGGACGTAAGTCAAGTCACAAGCGCCGAGTTTTGAAACACTGCCCCTCGAAGGGAACTTAGACTCTCTCGTTTCTTGAAGAAACCATTAATACCTGAACACTTTTAACTTTGAGACTTCCATCTGTGTCCTGTGAACCATTGAGGCTGTGTGGTCTAGGCCTCCTGTACTGTATTTAGCGTTTTCCTAGTACAAATACTAAGAAACTTGCACTCCATGAACCAGAAAGAAAATCTAATTTCCAATACATTGTTCAGTACTTACTCAGTGTCATGTAAGTAGTAATAATCACTGGGGCTCCTGGAATCAAAGGGTGCTGCCCAGATCAACCTTTCTCCCTACATCCCTGAGCACAGAGTTTGTGCAGAGCTGAAGAACGCAGGTGATACACTGTACAGTTTCAAAGGGGAGTCATATGTTAAAACGTGGAAAATATTGGACAGTCACACACAGACACACATGAGAGAGAGAAGAAAGGAGAGGCGAGAGAGACACAGAGAGAAATCTAGTGAATTCCCCGAATCCATTTTCTCAATGTAGCCATGTGAATAAATCTCCCTTTCTGATTTTGACTTTAACTTGTGTCTTTTAATTGGATTTTAATTAAAGATTGGTGGAAGGACTTGGCTCGGGGCACAGGTTGTGACCCTCAAGTTTGTAGCAGAAGAACAAAGCAGATTACTGTATCTGGGGAAGACTGACAGAGAGTAGTGGAAGATGAAGTCAGGTGGTTTACCAAGGTCAACCAGTTTTTAGAGGCTTCCCCACAATCTTCCTACCACACCTTTATATTATCCTTTGCATTTTCCTTTTAACCCCTTGAGATTTCTTTCTCAACGTTCTCTCAGCCAATGAACTTTCCCGGTTGATCTAGTACTCCAGTGCTTCATGTATTGTCTCTTCTTAGAAACCTTTATTCTAAGCCCAAGTTGTCCATTACAAGAACCACAAAGTGAGCTACAGTGGCTTAGCTCTAGTATCTCATCTGTATTTACTCTTGGAGAACCGTTCAGGGAATACTTGATCTGGTGTAATCTTTGTAGTGGATCTCACAGCACCCAGAGAATCTGAAACCCATCATCAGAATGGTGGGGACATAACTGCTCCATGGTGTCTGTAATCTTGTCTAGAACATAAACATGGAAGCTAACTGGAGAAATGACAGCCCTTGACATGCAATGAACCTCAGTCCCCACTAGTATGCGCACTGCTCTCTGTCCACTCCATATTCCCATAAAGCTCAGCAACCACTTAAGCATGTATTCCTTACTGCTTTCCCTGTCATTCCTAATGGGTTGCACTCATTGCACATTAGATTCTTTGCAGTCTGGATCAGCTGCATGTGTCATTTCACAGGTACAGTTGGACAAGGGAACCCAAGTGGATTCCTGCATTCAGTAGGTGGGTGACCTTGAGAAACCTCATTCCTCCACACAATCCATTACTCTAGTCTGAAAGTCCTTGCATACAGGGTGCTTAAACTTTTGACTATATAATCTGAAGTAAAATGAATCCCCACTCAGCCCGTTTTGAAGAGCAAGACCAAGAAATATGTTTTGGCTAAATTTGTGAGAGGCAAGGAACAAAGTTCCTCAATAGGCCCTTGGCAATTATTATTTTCAACCCTTGGTTCCCAGATACGTGTTTTCCTCCTAGCGCGTGTCATATATAGAGATCTCTGGTTTCTCACTATGCCTTTGTCCTCAGACATGACCACCCAGCCTGGCAGATTCCTGTCAGAGCTACTGATTCGTATGAGTGACTTCAGTTGACCTAAACAGCACACTGTGTACTACTTAGGTACTGTGCACCTGGCCCAATTCTGTACTTACATTTTTGTGAAGCAAGGTTTATTTGTGTGTGTGTGGATTCTCTACTCAGTGGAATTCCATGCCTATAATGGAACACTACCAATGTTTTAGGTTTATTAATGCCTGGTCAAAGGTTAGGAGAAGCTTAAAAATTTGACCTGGATGAGCTCTGTGATGAATCCAAAGGTTGTCGTCTAGTGGTTATCACCTGTGGTTTTAATAACTGATGTTAAAATAGCTCTTGAGTTTGTCTCTCCCATGCCTGCCACAGTGAAACAGAATGACTCCCCAAACCCCATGAGAAGGAGCAGGAAATTTAGACTCTCACATTGTGCTCTGTTCCAGCAAGAAACGTACAGAGAAGAATTTATTCAAACCAAGAGTAGTATTTGAAGGAGAGCCAACCCAAATTTGTGAGAGTCTAACTCAAAAACAACAGTATTTTCAAAGAAATGCTTTAGTTTACTCCCAAACACATGCACTAATGTTGATCAAACTAACGTACTAATGGTGGATCCTGGCAAAATGTTTCTTAAAACTCTCCTAAGTTAATAGCGAAAACTTATTTTTAACTACTATCCATTTGCCTACACATAATTTGCTCGAATTTCAAGAACATTTGATTTAGCAAGAACCCTATATGCATAGCTTTCCACGCAGATGCCATATAGATGACTTTAACCCAGTAAATGGCAACAAGTTAAAAGGTTTCCTTTCAGTATAGCCGATTTTATTTTGTAACTCACTGAGCTGTTTTCCCTGAGATCCACCTTTCAAATGCACTGTGAGCTTGTGTTCTGCACTCTAAAGCTATTACATAAAAAATGAATACTGCCTCGCCCAGAGGGCCAACAAGCCAGGTGAACAGAAAACTTGCCTCCGAAATCTCAGTCCTTTGCCAGTTTCCTTAAGGAAACTCTCCACAGCCAAACACTGTTGCCGGTAATAAAAGCTTGCAAGCTGTCACTGAATTCTGCTGCCTTGGCAGTATGTTTCACTGATGCACTGATTGATAAAGACTCCGATAATCACGTCAAGAGATGCTACAGGTAGTTATTCCTCAGCAGCCCAGAAAAGTGGTATCCCCCTTGAAATATCAAACAGGAAGCCATCAGAATACCACAGGGCTACTTATTTTTAAGACGACAGTAATAGGTTGGAGGCAGAGCACTAGCCTAACATGAACAAGAACCTGAGCATTCAGGAGAAAAGGAATAATTATGTGAACTTTAATTGTAAAGACATACACATGGGAGTGTATGTAATTATATTATCTATTATATTACATATGCATATATATGTACATAAACTTATGTGTTATAGTTTACTGCGGGCCTGTAACTCATTGAAACCTCATAGCACACATATGGGCTAAGAGTCACTATGCTCTTTACTTATAAGTGAAAAAGTTGCACAGCCTTGTATAAGTCCTGCAGATAATAAGTGTAAAAACAAGATCTAAATCCAGATGGGATAGCCCTTGACTACCATACTATAATTTTCCATTCAAATGGGCAGCTGGTTAGTTGCCTAAAATACCTACATGTTCTGAGAGATACATGTGGAAATACGATTTCTTTGTTGACCTCCAGAGTCTCCCCAAATAAGCAACGCTTTTGGGTGATAGACATAGATTTTTATATTATATTAACTGATGTGTTATATTAGATTGCATATGATACCTACCAGGCACTAAACAGAGCTAACTCTGGGATAGACAAATCCCAAGCTTTTACCTCATCCACAGATGTGCATAGCTTAGGAAGGGGCCTGAGGTCTCGTTCCTAGGCAAGCAGACCCACAGTTGCACTAGGGGATTTAGTGGATTGGCATACATGACATGGTCTAGGTAGGCCAACAGTGACTGTCCTCACATTAGAGAGGCCAAGAACCTATAGCTGCAAAGTTCACCAGTAGGATGTCACAGCAATACCAATTTGAAGCTGAAGACCTGTAGAATTCCTAGAGAATTACCAGTCAGTGTTCCCCATTGGGAGGCCAAAATAGCTGCATTCTGATGTTAGTGAAGAGTGAAGGCAGGTGCAGCATAGACAGTATGAACCTGTGCCTTGTGAAGTATCTATCGTGTTCCAACATGAAGAAAAGAAGAAAAGTGTAACTTATTTACCATTGGAAGATCATTAAAAAAATCAAACTCCTGCATTGTTGCTATACATGAAGGGGAAGAAATGATGATTAAGGAAATGTTTCTAATCTTGGGAAATAAATGGATGCCAATGACTGTAGAACTCCAAACAGACATGAACAGAGAGGATCCTCAGCAAAACTTTTTAGTCCAAATCTTAAAAGTGCACGGGAATGAATTCTTCAATATATTAGAGAAACATACTAAGTGAAGTTTAAGGAAAATCCCTTTAGACTAATAGCAGATTTCTAAGAAGAAATTTTACGGACTTAGACAACATGGAAGTGTGTTTTTCAAATCCTGAAGAAAGAGCCAATCTGAAAACCATTATTAGTGCACCTAACAAGGTTATAATTTGTAGTTGAAGGACACGTACACACATGCACGTGCATGAGCACACACGTACACATACACATACACAAAATCTTGGAAATTAGCCAGGCGTTGGTGGTGCACACCTTTAATTCCAGCACTTGGGAGGCAGAGACAGGGGGATCTCTGTGAGTTTGAGACTAGCATGGTCTACAGAGATAGTTTCAGGAGAGCTAGGACTGTTACACAGAAAAACCCTGTTTCGAAAAACCAAATGAATGAATGGATGAATGAATGAATGAACAAGTAATAAATCTTCCAAAGTGTAAGGGGAATCTCTGATCACTCTATCATTCCACAAAAGATACTTAATGGAATTCTCTACCTAGAAGCTGAAGAAAGACAATTACCATCAGGATGACATGCAAAAACATGATGAGGATGGATGGGTCTGGGCTTAATATTTCCAGATTTTGGGCTTCCTACTTAAGAATGAAACAAAAAACATACAACAGTTGGAGAGTAACAGGAAATGTAATTCAAAGCAAATGTAAAGAATGGTTCAGAATATA